GCAATTTAATTTATAAGCTTGACAGTACAACGAACTTTATAACTTTTAGATCAGGAGTCAGCAACTAAACTTTTACTCCCGACCACATTTACATATTTCTGCGCATATAAACAGAAAACGAATTTCCTCCTCGATTTTTGCCGATTTTGTCTAAGGAACTTTTCATTTCAGGGAATTAGGACAGCATAAAAGAGTCCCCTTACTAAGAGCTAAAATATTCTAATTATGTTATTTAAAAAATTACTAGCCTTCTTAAAATTTAGAAAAAGAGTTTAAGATATTTTCATAATCTTGTAAAACATTTTTTCTAAAGTAGGCAATACACCTTGTGGTTTAGATTTTGTTTGATATATTGGTATTATAAACTCCAACATATGTATATGTATGTAGGAATCTATATGAATAACAATAAAATTTTAAAAAGTCATCATTTTAGCAAAAATATGTGATCCTTTACTTTGGTTTTTCAAAATTAAAAATTTTTTGCATTGTTTTATTATTATATTTTGTAAAAAAATTATTTTTCATATTTTATTTTCATTTTCAATTTAATTTACTTGCGAAAATGATTTGCAGGACCCAAAATTCTAAGATTTTAATAAACTAATACGCATATAAATTATATACAGTGTAGGATTATAAAAATTTATAACATATTTTAAGATAATAGTAAAAGAAGAATATTTGATATGCACCAGAATGACTAAAATTATTGGAAACTTCCAATGTTTTTCTTTATGAGTGACATACGATATGTCAATGTAGAATATTTTTCAAATAGTTGTAAAATAGAATTTGAATGTTGTCAATTTTAAAATTGCCAGAAATAAAATTACTTTAAGTTTGAAAATTTTAAATAATATCTTTATATAAAATAAAATTATCATATCGACTCCATATTTTAATCGTTAACTATTAATGCGATATTTGTTTTTAATCTACATGAATTCAACCAAGTTTAAAAAATTTCGAACTGAATTTTATTTTTTAAAACGGAAAACATAATTTTGCTGTATTTTGATTCCAATTTCATTCCGTATTGTAATAAGGCCCATACGTTTTGTTCTACTGAGGTTTTTTGAAATTTGACTGGTACTTCTGTATTAAAAAATTTTAATTATCATTATTAAATTTATTAAATTAATTTAAGAAATTTGGCACATTTTTTTCAGCATCTATATTATAATATGTTCATATTTCAAGAAGTGTGTACATAATGCATTTTGAGTTTAGGCAGTGATATGCAATAATGTTTAACAGTTTTTATCATACAGATTAATACACCACCACGTGTAAGCAAAATCAGAATGAAAATTAAATTGTTTCGATGAAATCATATAAAATTACTGATTAATGAATATACTATCAGCATATTTACTATTTTTGATAGCTTTATAGATAGCTTATATAGTTGTATAACAGTTCCTATAATGAAAATATAATTTCAATATGACCAGCATTTTCTATACCCAAAATTGTACATGTGAATAGATTTATAATAGTTTTTGCTTTTAAAAATCAATTTTTCGATATCCTTAAATAACAATATTTTCCATTACATTTTTTTTCTATACACAACAAATAATGAATGCTTATGTACAAAATATCCTATAGTACGAATTGTTTTAATCCTCACACGTGCAGAAAACAGAATGATTAGCTTTCAATTTTTTATATGATAAAGCTTTTCACAATATTAAAAATAAATAATTTGAGAAATAAATTATTTTCATAAAAAAATTATCGACTATTTTTTTGATGGCAGTAAAATTTTATTTTTAAGGAATCTCTGAGCTCGCGGTACATTAGAGAGCTTGTAAAATTTTGAATTTATTCCAAAAAAAAAACATTGTTTCTCCGCCATTTCAATTACGTGCCAATAGAAGAATATCTTGTGTATGTCTTTTGCACTGAACTGAGTATAAAATTTTAGAATTAAATTTTTTTTTAAATGAACCACGTCACATTATTCACATAATTTTAAATACATATTTAATTAAAATTATTTACAGGTAAGTGTTTTTTAGAATAAATATTTTGACAATCTACGTAAACACACAACATTGTCATATCCAGTCAAACAATAAATATTATTTTAAATGAACTGTTTTAAAACACTAATACACTTACATAATCTATTATAACTTGATTTTGGTTCAGTTTTGTTATTGTTTGTATTTTTGTTATTAACGGATCAACTTTAACCACATGGAACTCATTAATCATTGATGATTACTTCTAAAAGAAGTTTATTGATTCAAGTTCGAACAAAGCAAATATTTATTTTTTAATTTTAATTATATTTTAATTAAATGTGTATATTATTATCCACACGAGTTAGTAAGAATCTTATTTTGTTTAAGGCAAGCATATGATTTGAAAAATATTCATTGAACTATTATTAGATTTTTATTGAATTGCCGAGGTTCCAGATTGTTGAATTTATGCCAGATTTTTTAACATATGTTTTTCTTTTTGTAGTATTTACATGGTGATTCAGTGAAGAGTACAATATTATAAAATATCATTGTTTAGGGCATAAAAAATTAAGAAAATGTTTATTTGGAACTACTTACCAAATCTCAACTGTTTCCGAAATACAAGGATTTTTGTAAAAAAAATTTCAAAATTTCGAAAAATTTCACACGAAATTATCGGATTAGAGAAAACTAAAAAATTAAAATAAAAGAAAAAATTGATTTTTTTGTAAAGTTAAAATGCTTGGTATTCCGAAATTACATAAAATACAAAATTAAGTAATATGTTACTTTCAACCTTTTTATTAGCCCTTTCACAAGCGGTTTATTTGAAGCTTCTACCCTTGTCGGACGGAATATTATTAGGCAATTAGAAATTTCGTGAAAATTCATTGAAATCGCTGTATTTCGGAAACCGGTTTAAATTTTACCACTAATTCCAAACAAAAATCTTACGTATTCTTGATGCCTTAAACAATTATAATTTATAATTTTGTACTCTTTAGTAAATTTCCCTACATGTAGTTTAATTAAAAAGTGATGAGTGTTGATAAAATTATTGTGAATTTTAGAACTGCAATTACGAGTATAATACTCTAATAAAGCATATTATATCACGTACGTGTTAGTGATCTATGGTTAAAACCACAATAACTCTTATAAAAATATTTACTTTTTTATGTAAAGCAGAAAATATTAATAACGAGCTTTTATCAATCAATTAATGTGTTGCTTACCTCAAAAAAAAAATTATTTTAAAATTGTTCCTTTATCATTTTAAATATCTTAATTTGATAGTACGAATCTAGAATTTATTCCAAATTTATTACAGGGGATTCCTTAGCATGATTGCTATAAATTTCGAATAATTTGTATTTGAATAATATTATTATTTCTTAACACATTAAAAAAATTCTCTAATAAATTTTGATCACTGACTGCATTGCAGACAATAAAGGAAGTTGAAACATTTGTACGAAACATTTCTGAGCTGATTTAGAAAAATAATTAAATTTTTAATTAAATTCTGTATTAAATATTACTTGAATAAATTTTCATGTACAAATTTTTATTTTTTTCCTCAAGCGTCTCCCTTTCATAATTTTTTGTTTTAGCAAGTTCTTTGAAAATTTCTAAAGTAATAAATACCTTACTAAGTTTTATTATTTTAATGTAGGAATCATTTGTAAAATTATAATTCTTAATTTTTTCTTTTATTAAAAAATTACTTTACGTATTTACATGTAAAATCAAAATTTATATTGCTGAATTTTTAATAATAACACATTTAAAGTTCGTAACCATTAAAATGAAAATTTCATGCTCTGCTTACTTCCTTTATTTGGCTTGTGGCGGTGGTGGGGGTGGTGGCGGCGGTGGAGGTGATGGCGGTGGTGGTGGTGGAGGTGGTGGTGGTGGTGGTGGTGGTGGTGGTGGTGGCGGTGGCGGTGGTGGAGGAGGTGGAGGTGGGGGCGGTGGTGGAGGTGGTGGTGCAGCTCCTCCACTTGCTGGCGGTGGTGGCGGTGGGGGAGGTGGAGGTGGTGGTGGTGGCGATGGTGGGGGTGGCGATGGTGGGGGTGGTGGTGGTGATAATGTATTCCTCTTTTGTACGCGGTGTAAACTGTCACCGGCATAGGCCAAATTTATTGCCAAAAGGCACTACAAAAATATGTGTACATTACAAATACATTCAAAGTAAAAATTTTAATCTCGTATATTAAAAAAAAAAAATTAGTTCATCAATTGCAAACTTACAAATGCCAAAGTACTAAAAATAAAAATCCTCATTCTGTTACTGTTTCTAATCAGAATTTAAACTAGATAATAATTTCATTTGAACGTCTCAATTTATATTAAAAGTTAATAATTTTTCTTGTCCTTGAATATAGAAAATATAAAAGATTCTAATTAAATATTTCAACATATTTAAGTTTTACACAATACAAGGTATTTTAAGAAAACACCAAAATAAATATTCAATTTTTTTTTTAAATTTCCTGAACAAAGCATTAATTTGTATTTGATCAGCTTTAAATTTTATGTTTCTTACTAGGAAAAACCATTCAATTAAAGAAACTTAGAACTACTGCAACTACAAAAGTAGTTGGGCATATTAGCTAGCGGATAAATCACACGCAGTAAACCTATTCAGTTATTTTCTCAGTTATTTTCTATTAAACCTGCCGAAAAAATATTGTGCTGTCCATTTAAAACAATGCTTATCAGCTGTGTTGGTGCCATTTACATAATTGTCTTTTTCAAGCTAAAGCATTTTGTGGCCTTTGTACACATATTTGGTTTTTTATGCTCATAACATAATTCTAATAATATTCATATATACACATTTGACATACATAATTACTATATCTATTGAGCTTCAGGAAATACAATATACGTTAAAAAAGGCATGTGCCAATACTATAGAAAATAAATTAAATATCTATTTCACGTGCTTTTAAAGTGAATAGTTTATCTATGTATTTTATAAACGGTTTTCGTATTCTTATGTTTTAGTAAACAAAAATGACGCAAACAGAATGTAGATGGTTGTGATACTGTTATAATTTTTTAATACATCATCACTCATATTCTGTTAGTTGCGTCACTAAAATTGATGAAAAATATTGTCGTAATTCATTTGGTATAAATATGTATAAACCATGCTAAATTTTACAGAACATTGTTTTTAGAAACTGTTCTTCAGAAAATCTTAATGTTGATGTTTATTGGAAAATATTTAATAATTTTAGCTATAGGTAATATCAAAGCAAAGGCACAGCAAACAAAATCAGTCTTCTCATTCCTTACAAATCATAAATACGTACGTATTATGTATACATATATTCATTGTTGGACATTGTCTCTCATTCGGGCAGTTTTAGCCCAAAGAAGTTGTTCAGTTTAGGCGAAAACATTTCAGATGTGGCTTCCTGACATCGCAGTCGCATGCAGTACTGAAGTTTATCAGAAATCTGGGGAAAAGACCAATTAGTGGATGACATCCAAAAAGATACAATGAATGTGATTTCTAAACCTTAAAACAAATTAGAAAACATCAGCATCAACATACTAAAACTAATTTTTATCGTCAAATTGATTTTCAAAGTTTATTAAAAGTATAAGATTTTCATTTTGGGGAGTTTATTATTAAGGATTTGTGAATCATAACAGGTCACATAAATAAACGCATCATGCCCTACATTGTCGAAATCTTTTCTTTTTATTGAAATAGGCGAAATTTCGTTACACAGCTGCAGAGCAGAATACACATGAATGATTCAGTTTAAAGAATGATTGAACGTAGAAAAGAGTCTCGAGCTGAAGTCGAACTAGTGCAAAGTGCTTCCTAGCATCTCTATGTTTATGTATTGTTTTGTATTCAATGTCTCGATCACAATTGCAAACAAATAACTACGAGAGCATATTATCTTATGTTACCTCTTTATCTAAGTAAATTTGCAAGTAAAATAACTTGGAAGTAATTTTTTTTACTTAAAAATAACGCAATTTTCCTTTTTCATTTCATAGTTTTACAGTTCAAATGTTTTTGTATTTTGTAAATATTTTATTATGTTTAAAAAATTTAACTATAAAAAGTAATACAATGAAACATAAGCGAAGATTTAAAATTATGTCCTAAGACCTAAAAGCTCCTATGGAGCACCTGCTGGTGGTGGGGGTGGTGGAGGTGGCGCTCCGGCTGGTGGTGGGGGTGGTGGAGGTGGTGCTCCGGCTGGTGGAGGTGGTGCTCCTGCTGGTGGTGGGGGTGGTGGTGGAGGTGCTCCAGCTGGTGGCGGTGGTGGTGGTGGAGGTGCTCCTGCTGGTGGCGGTGGTGGTGGAGGTGGCGCTCCTGCTGGTGGCGGTGGTGGTGGAGGTGGTGCTCCTGCTGGTGGCGGTGGTGGTGGAGGTGGCGCTCCTGCTGGTGGCGGTGGTGGTGGAGGTGGTGCTCCTGCTGGTGGCGGTGGTGCTCCTGCTGGTGGTGGTGGTGGTGGAGGTGGTGCTCCTGCTGGTGGTGGACGTGGTCCAGCTGGCGGTGGTGGTGGCGGAGGTGGTTTTGGTTTTGCTCCAGCAGGAGGTGGTGGTGGACGTTGTGCTAAAGCACTCCTCTTATTTAAACGATGTGGAATTGCTTTTGCATCAGCAAAGTTTGTTGCCAAAAGGCACTAGAAAAATATGTAAATATGTTTATATAAAATAGATGACCAAAGTAAGAAAAACGAAATGTTACGTATACAATAAACCATCATTTATCGATCGAAAACTTACAACTACTAATACGCCAAAAATAAGAAACTTCATTCTGTTTTAACACGCTTCGAAATTAAAAATGATACTAGGTAGAAATTTGTTTTGGCTTCTGAATTTATATTAGAAGTTAATCAAACTTTTGTCCTTGAAAATAGCAAATTTAAAAAGTTTTAAACAAATATTTCTACATGTTGTTAGATCTTTACTCTATGTCAGAAATTTTAACAATACCCGTAAATAAATATTAAAATTTTATAATATATTTTTTGAACAAAACCAAAATTTATATTTAATCAGCTTTAAGTTTTGTCTGTGCTATTAAAGCAAGCCATTGAATTAAAGAAAATTAAAAATGAGAAAAAATTAAATTTTCAGTCCTGTGAAACCAATGTGAATGTTTACTAAAGACTATTTTGTCAGGTAATTAGAATTTCCACACAAATCCTGCAGATTCTGGCACAAAGGTTGCTCTGTTAATAAATTTTTCGTGTGAAATTATTGCACCCTTTAGTATTTTAGAGTAAATTATTTCTAGAGTTGCATGTGGCAGGCTTCTTATAAACTAATATAACCAGTATTAAATTTAAGAGGAACAGTTATGTGAAAAATATTATTGTCAAATTTCGTTTAGCCTTCCTCAATTTGTGTTAAGCTGTAATTGTCACAAAAAACAGGCATAGCTAAGTCGAGTAGAAATTCGGCGGTACCGACAATATCAACAAATGTAGACACCACTGCCTGTATTTCTCTCTCTTTATGTTATTGCTTATGTTATATTATATATCAATTGTCGATATGTCTATACGTCAGTCAATGTATCAATGTCAAAAGACGTTTGACATTAGCTTGGCAAACGAACTAGTAAATTTGTAATATCCTTCGAAGATTCATTGTAGACGTTAGTGCAACGTTATAAATTGTTATTTTGCAAAGTTAGAAAATTTTATAAATTAAATAGCTACAGCAAACCCACTCTTCTAATTCCAATATGACATACTTATCAAACTGTTCAAACAAATATATTATGCTACACTCTCCTAATATAATAGATCAGTTTTTCATGGCATACTATCTCAAGTTATTCTTAAAATAAAGCTTTTGTAGCTTTATTTAGATATGTTTTTTTATAAATTCGTTAAGTTACACATGTTAATTATTAATATGTGTGCAGTGTGATTAGGTATAAAATTGAGTCACCAATGTGATGAAAATTACAATTGTGTTTCATCACCTCATATACACGCACGTTATAAAAACATTTTGATAATATTCAAGATGAATACATTTTAATAATGTTTAAAAAACAAATGATATGTTTTTAAATGTACTTTGAAATTGAAGTTGAAAACGAGTTTCTCAATTTGTTAAAGTTTACATATGCAAAAAAATGCATTTCAAAATTAAATAAAGCTGAAGCAGACCAATGGCTTGTAAAATAGCGCCTTTCCCTTCAACAAATGAAAATACTGCTTTTAAAAACAATTTGTGTACTACATTACTAAAAATACTTTTATTCTTATGTAAAATATTTCAATGATTGCATACGTTTCGGATGAACCAAAAAAAAATTTAAAGAAGCGTAATAAAGGTTAATCGCGTCAGGTATTGAAATCAAAACTGACTTATAGGCCTGTATCAGTGACAGGCGCTATATGATATTCTCTGCATTCATTAATATTTCCAAATGTGAGGGAATCTTGGTTGTTAAGTTAAACATTTGCATAACAGAACAGAGACATCATTTTGAACGGTTGTTGTACATTTTTCTAATTCATTGAAGAAAGAAAATTGGTATAAAATTTAAATGTTAGTACTCTATTTTTCTCAATAACTCCTATACCACATCAGGTAGAGTGATGATTCATATACCAAATTGAAGCTGTCAAGGATAAAGCTCCAACGTTACGCCACCTACAAAATTAACGTTTTTTAAATATGAAAAATTAAAATTCAAAATTTTTCGAACTACATAGTCATGTGATTCCGAAATCTGAACAGATTATAACTAATGTGGATATTCATAAGAAAGCCCTTGCTCTTTAGTTTCCAAATCATATTTATTAATGCGCCTACCTTGGAGTTATACTGATAATTTCAAAGAGTAAAAAAATCAACTGTTGAGTTGTGAACATCGTCTCTATACAAAAGTTTTGTCTAATCATGAGGGCCTATGCAACGATACATAACAGTACACTTTTTTTTATAAGACACCCTGTATATTTTTTAATGCCATTTCCTGTTAACTTTCTACATTTATAGAAATTTGGAAAAGCTTAAAATTTCAGAAATATATGGTGGCAAAAATTCAAATTTTAGAAATTTCTAGAGGCAATAAATTGAGAGGCGTTGGACATTGAAAAAAAAAATTCTAACGAAATGAACTATTTATTAGTATCTTTATAGAATTTTCTTTAAAATTTTAAAGTCCTACAACCTGCGGTTTATAGGAAAGGAGTCTTGCAACCTACGGTTTATAAGAAAGTGATATAAAATATTTGGAAAAAGCGAATTTTAGATAACGGCACTTTTTAACGCCGAAGAAGAAACCAGCCACTGCTTTTCTGCGTTTCTGTGAACTTCTTTTCAAAATATCCATAGTAAAGAAAATGTTTATCACATATTTAAAAATTCGTTTTCTAGCTATCACAAACTTACAAATAAAGGATTTCATCCCGCTATTTTGCTATTTTAAACCAGCTTAAAATTAACCAGCTTAACCAAATATCTGAATTAAATATTAACACCCAATCATTTTTTTGTCTTTAAATATAATGAAAGAAGCTTTAAATTAATTTAACACACATCCACATTTAAAAATATTTTGGCAAAACAAATAAATAAGCATTATATATTTTAAGCAAAGCAAAATATTTTTATTTAATCAGCTTTAAATTTCGTACATACTGTTAAAGCAATGTCGTACTATAATAGTCATATTAGTATTTACACTGTCGCATATCATTTAAACCCAGTTCAATTCTTATTCTATAGTTAATTTTATATTAATTAGAAGTTGGAAACTTTAATATATTTGTTTCATTTTAAATCTATTCTTGTCTGTAAAAAAAAATGTCGATTTGATGTCGTCGTGTGCGTAATTGAAAAACAACACATGCTAACGTAACCATAAGCTTCCATAATGCACACATACATAATAAAGAGTTTTCGCTTCCAAGTTCCATAATATTATCATATTCGAGTAAGATTTTTTAATGAATTTCTTATTATATGAATTTAATATTATATGGCTCAGATATAATCGACTCAGGTATGAAGAGGAAAGTTACGAAACAAATTCTCCAATTTTTCGCAGATATCTAAAATAAAGTTGGGTCAAACCAATGTTTTGTATTGTAGCACTTTTCCCTTCAACAAGTGAAAATAATGCTTTTAAAATACAGTCTATGTGTATCCAACATTAAAATTATTTTCATTCATAAACGGAACTATTTCTAGGATTGCATAAATTTAGGATGAACGATTTATGCCGTCTTCCAAATAAAGCAAAAATTAATTTAAAGAGGTGTTAACATAATGTTCGATTTTAAGGGTTAATCGTGTGAGTTAAGAAAAATAATTATATTTTTTAATGTCATGGAATTTACCGTTAGCTTTTTGCGTTTATAGAAATTTGAAAAAGCCTCCAGTTTCGGAAATATAAGGCGTCAAAAATTCAAATTTTACAAATGTCGAGAGGCGATAATTTGAGAGGGGGTGGAGATGGAAACTAACTAACGAAATGAAGTATTTATTAGTGTCTAAAAGTCCCTAAAATTTCAGGCTTCTAGATGCTGGGGTCTAGAAGATAAACGACATCAAAAATTTGGAAAAAACGGATTTTAGATCACGGTAAATCATCTGCGTTTGCAAAATTTGAAAAATGCTTATGGTTTCACTGCACTAAATAGTTAAAAAATGGCAGTTTTGGCGTTTTGGAGGAGTATAACTTCTAAAGGGGGGGAGATAGATAAAAATTTAACGTATTAAATTTCAGCTTTCTATCTTCAAGGGTGTAGAAGTTTTCTAAACAGACACACGTACAGACGGACGGACGGGCAGAGTGAAACTAATAAGCACTTTTTTCCAAAAAATTTTTGGAAAAGTGCTAAAAAGAGACTCAAGAATTTTTTTACCAATAAAGTGGTATTAAATGCCTACGCAAGAAAAAATTAACTTTTTTTTTTAGTTTAGGCTTAACTTGTTTTTTGAGGGTAGAGAAAGCAGAGAACTTGGATTTTGTGTTATCAATTACATGTATATTACAATTTTACGTTGAGAAGTCAGAAAATATTGTGTGTTTTTTTGTGTGTGTTTAACAAACTGTTTTTAATTTTTTGTTTTTAAAAAAGTAAATTATAATCAAGCGCGGCGCGATGCTACTGGTGGTGGGGGTGGTGGAGGTGCTACTCCTGCTTGTGGCGGTGGTGGAGGTGCTATTCCTGCTGGTGGCGGTGGTGGTGGTGGCGCTGCTCCCGCTCGTGGTGGTGGAGGTGGACGTGCCCCTCCAGGTGGTGGTGGAGGTGGACGTGCTCCTCCAGGAGGTGGTGGAGGTGGACGTGCTCCGCCAGGTGGTGGTGGAAGACGTTGCGGTTCTGGATCAGCATTTCTCTTTTTTAAGCGATGTGAAATTGCTCTAGCATCGGCTAAATTATTTGCTAAGAAACACTATAAAAAAAGCAAAAGATATCACATATTCAAAAATTCGCTATTTTAACGAAGCTTTCAGGAACTTACGACTACTAATACCCCAAAAATAAAAAACTTCATTATTCTATTTTATCGTTCCAAATCAGAAATTCAACTAGTTGAAAAATTGTTTTAAATTCTGAATTTATATTAACAATCGAACAACTTTTTCACCTTGAATACACAGGACGATTTTTATTATTTTAGTAAATACACATCACAAAGTATTTTGGCAACACATGCAAATAAAATTTGAAGCAACTTAAGCAGAGCAAAACATTTTTATTTAATCAGCTATATTATAATATACATTTGAAATTTTGTGCTATTGCATCATTCAAACGCAATTTATATTCTAGTTTATTTTTATAATTAAAAGGTAAGGGACTCCAATCTAAAAATTTCTCGAATTCAAAAACTTTAAATATTAAAGCTATAAAATTGAAAAACTGGTATGATATCGTTGAGCCTTTTTATGTTCTTGCGATCGAACGATTTCAACATAATTGTAATTTTGTGTTGAAGTATTTGACCCGCTTAAAATAGGTTTGAAAGAGGAAAATTTAAATAAATAACTTATAATATTTTACGGAGAGCAAATACAACACTTCTGATTTTTCGCAAAATAATAAAAATAAAAATCAAAGAAAGTTTACAAACTTTTTTTGTTATTACTGATACAATTAAATGGTGGAAATATTTTCAACTTCTAATATAAATTATAAAATTTCGCTTCTGTTGATACACGTGCCATAATTTTATCCATCCCTTATTGTATGCAATGCGGTCAGTAAAAAGTGCTACATAATTATTTTTCTAATGTATTTAAAATTGCCTAACGTAATATTATAATAACAATCTAATATTCGTTCTATGTCAGAATAGGTGTAGGTAAATAAGAGGTTTATTTCTAGTATTTTTCACTTATCTTATTTAATTGCATACAGTTAGGAGAACGTATCACCATTGAGAAAATACTTATATCGTAAATATTTCAGGTACTGTTATGTCGTAAGTAGAGCTTGATTACAAAGAAATATTAGAAAAGTAAAAAGGTTTCAGTCGGTATAAACCGAATGATTTACCCGAACCAGTCCTTAACGTAGAAGAAACAATTTGTGAAAGTGTGGTGATATTTGCCTTATTCCTTTTTAAGTTATAGTGCCAATAGTAAGAATCCAAAAAGTGTTGAAAGGATATCTTAAACTTTGTACAAAACAAAGGGTTTTGTACATAGATTTGGAAAGCATGTATATTAAAAAATATTTTCATTCATGTCATGCACAAACCGTATTAATGTCAATATTGTATTGAGAAAGAATTGAAAAAAAAATTAACATGAGTTTTTCTGATGTATTTAAAATTGCGTAGCCTAATAATTATAATCACAATCTAGAAGTTTTGTTTTTAGAATTTTTCACTTATCTTATTGCATACCTTTAGGAGAAGCATTAGTAAAAGGAAGCAAAATTTTAAAAAATTGTACTAAATGGGATTCATAGTTAAACTTTAGTTTAGTAGATGAAAAATACTATCGGTTTCTTTCTTATCTTATCAAAAAATTAAAAAGTCATGATTTTATTAAATTTTTTTTTGTCAAAACTTCCTTACGATTTAATTATAGAGAACCATTTTATTAGTATGGGGAAAAGTACTTGCAAATGTTAATTCAAGGACTCTTAATTAAATACTAAACGACAACTAATAATATTTTACTAATATGTAATTATTCTAAAGTGGGAGCATTTCAAATCGCAGAATAAGTCTGATGACTTTTTTATTTTGATTTTCATTAATATTTTTATAGACTAATGATGCTCTATATGATAAAGTATCAATTGTAATAATACTAATACTAAATAATAAAGCGAAACTTTCATTTTGAATTTTTTCAAGATAGTTTGGAATTTATAAGGAGAAAGAAGGAAATACCTTTATTATTAATAGAAAGAGGTTAGGAGTATTTCGTATTCTGAATGAATTTGACTTTCTGCAAAAAAAATTTTCTGCGAAATATTCTCTGCAAAAAAATTTGTATAGTTTACCGAGGCAATATCGCACGGTGAATAAATTTGATTCAAACACTTTGTTTAGGTCATACTTGAAATAATGTAAGCGAGAGAGACCAATTTTTAAAAGTATGTTAGGAGAAAGTTTTAAAGCTTATTAAGATTTTTTCTTTCATACTCCATGCAACTATATGTGGCAATTTTGACCCATAAGCGTATTAATAAGCTGCTTTAAGACTTTTAAGGAATTTAATCGTGTGCGACTTATGTATATTTCATATATTATGTAATTAAAAAAATTTTGTCCTTACACTAAAATTAAAAATTTTGTTGTACACTAAAATTAAAAATACCATTATTGCTTTTCTGCTACTAAATTTCTACAAAAAAAAATAAACAACAGATTTAGACACAAACGTTCGTGATTTCAACAAAAACTCAAAACAAAATTTGGTGAAAGAATCAGCTTGTAACATAAGCAAGAAAAATAGAGAGAGGCAAATTAATGTTTGCTTCAATTTAAATTTTGATGACGTTCTCATTTTTTTTTCTATCCGAATATACCACTTTGGAATTCCAGTTTTATCACTATAATGTTTATATTTACTATAGGTGAATTACTGTTCAAATATTTTATTTTTATCCTTTGTGCTCAATTTAGTTTTTTTTTTTTTATGATGACGTATGAAAATTGATATTTTATTGTTAAACATGGTGGTGTGTACTAAATTTTTTAATTAATAAAGGATCCGGTTAGCTTAAAAAGTGAGATTTGATTATGGATTTAAGGAATTTTGTGAAGAAAATGAAAAAAATTTTTACAGCAACGTATTGTGCTTTATAAGTACCTTTAAATTGTTTGCTTTACAAGTTAACGGAAAATTGAAAGGTTTAAGTTTTAAAATGTTAAAATCTTCATATCCAATAATCCCAATCTGATCAAAACTAAATCGTCCCCGTAGAGCGTTGAATCAGCTGTCAACACAAATATTGAATATCAGTGTGTGTCCGGTGAATATTTTTATACCACCTAATTTTTTTTTTAAGGTTTATAACTAAGCAACAACAAGATAAATTTAATTTCTTTGAAAGGAAAAAAAAGCAGTTCCTTTAAATTAAGGAATTACAGTCAGACCTGTGCAACAATTGGATTTTAACATTGGCCAACACGGCTTGTACGTAATATTTTATATATATTCATCGGAGCATTTGATATATTGTGACTTTTAAATGGAATGAAAGCAATTGTGTGTTTATGATACTACAGGTAAATTAAAAATTTAATGCAAATTTTGAAATATTACAGAAGTGCAAATCCAAGTTTTTTGTAAATAACTTGGGAGTTCGAGAAAGAAAGTACATAAAATCTAATAGAATTCTAATAACTAGCATATGGCTGAAATCTTGAAACTAAAAATCTTAGGGATTTTATAAAATAATCACACTATTGTATTTTTGATTGTTAATAATCTGTTTTGCTCTTTCATCCAAAAATTCTCTTCTACACGTTTAACATATCATCCTTGACAATATTTGTATTTTGAACGTTTTTTTTTTACAATTATCGCTGTTTGTCTTCCTAATCCTTTTTTTTCTCTTTTTAAATAAAATATAAAGCAACCATAAATTTTAAGTAACTAGAAATTTTGCTACAAAAATAAACAAAATTTTATGCTGATAAACCTCTTTCCTTTATATTGTGTATAATGTGAAGGAAGCAAACAATTTCAATTTATTATTTTTTCTAACTTTTACAATATTTGATAAATATTTAGACAATGTCTTAGAAGAATGTATAACCAGAGTTTTTACCGGTTGCATTTCAACTAAATTAAAAAACCAAAATCATAAACACTATGATTATAAGCATATACTGCCGTAGAGCCAAAATATCGTTTAGTTTAAAAATCCATATTAAATTTTTGTCTGTCTGTGAAATTTTTATTATTAATTATCAATCCTCCTTCCTTGTCAATCAAACGGTAAGAAATATGGGTGTTTTTCTTGTGTTTACTTAAAATCGAACAAATAAACGTAACAAAGTTTAATACAAAAAAAAAAAAATTATAAAATATTTAATTTTTATTTACATTTTTCCGTTTAAATATTGAAAAATTTATACATCATGATAAAATATTTATTTTAAATTTTTCATTTTATTAAATTCAAGGGCAAAACTATCTTTTCTGGATATAAATACGGAAGTTTAATTAAAATCTTACTTAGTTTCTTATTTCTCATTTGAACTGACAGAATAACAAAATGAGATTCTTCTTTAGTTTATTGGTTATTGTAAGAGATTATTAACAATTGAGATTAACATTTACGGTGATGTAAATTTACGTTTATGAAATAATTTTTATAGGCTTTCTTAGCAATAAATTTCATTGAATCGGCTCGTCCACCAGTACCAGCTCATAAATCACCAGCACCACCAAGACCAGCTCCACCTAGACCTGCACCATCAAGACCAAAACCAGCACCAGTACCAGCACCAGCGCCAGCACGACCATTGCCACCAAGGCCGGCACCACCAAGACCAGCACCACCACCACGACCAGCACCACCAAGACCAGCACCCCCACCAGTTGCACCGCCACCACCACCAGGTCCACAAGTACCTGCACCAACTGTATCACCGGGGGCTACACCATACCCACAACCTCCATCACCATCTACTTCGGCTCCTCCACCACCAGGTCCACAAGCACCTGCCCCAATTTCACCACCAGTTCCTTCATCTCCTCCATCAAAGAAATGATTGAGAAACATTTATGAAAATAAAAGAAGTTTTATTTAAACAAAAGTTGTTATTTTTTGTTATTGAGTTAGTCAGTTTTAATAACGAAATATGATCTAGTTTTTCGGCTCAAATATTTTTGAAGGTCCTTCAATGTTACCCAATTTTTTATTAGTGTCATTTATTATTTTCTATTTCAGCAATTGTTCCTATAAAAATTTAAAAAGTAAATTTTTACATTGTTAATTACTCAAATCATACGGAGTGTACTATTTATTTCTATTAAATAAATTCTGTGACATTTCTAATGAATAATATTTTGTTAGAGCATA